AGCAAACCTCCCAAGTGCATCCATAACTCAATAGTGTACGCTGTGGTGTTTACCATTTGTTTTATAACATAACATTGATACATTGTAGCTAAAGAGTTCCCTTTTATTTATCAAATCTTACGTGACCAGAAAATACAAGCGCGCGCAGAAAAATTGTCTCTGCATTTGCTCACGTCAACAGCGTACACCCATGGGCAAATGGGGGATGCTGAGTTCACCAATCAGAGCGCACGCTTTACTTTGGTTGTGTTATAATTAAATAATGATAGATACTCAAAGTTGCCTAAACTTTATCATTTTTTCAAAAAACTACCTGATTGTGGCTTCAAAAACTTGGACTGTATTATTCTTCTCAAATGTTACAGAATCAATCACAAGTTGTACTGCTCTCTTGAATTCACTGCTGTTGCCCATTACCTGAAAGAAAAAGGTACTCTTACTGATGAATCCAAGACTGTCAAATATAACCTGTTCAATTAACTATACAAACATATCCAACTGCACAGGCCAAATCAGACAGTTAGGTAGCCAATAGTATTATTAGTTCTCTCAATCAGTTTAAATCTCACGTACTCCAACGCTATTCCGCTGCTTTTCGTACAAACTATGACGTCACTAACTTCAACACCTGGAAGTCGATCTGCTGCAAATGCAGCAGGTCACGTGATCTTCTATCAGTTGGTAACTGCTGCTATTAGGACTTTCTATGGGCCGCATAAGGGATTTATTCCTATCATTTTCGTTTTTGTTATTATTATTTTATATACTTTTTTATATACTTTTTACCCTGTCTATTGTTTACATAGTTAGTATTTGTGTATTTCTCGTAAGGGCACACTTAATTTGGAGCCTCGCTCTGTTGTGTGTCCCGCACCCTTGTCCTCCGTTCTCTTCTGTGTCTTGTTCATATGTATATTTCAGTCCTTTTAGTATTGTAAGTATGTGAAAGCAATTAAATAAAAAAATAAATAAAATAGAAATTAAGCTCTTTCAGCCATCAGCCTATAAAACTCAACTTTGTATTCAATGCTAGCCAATCAATAATAATAATAATAATAATAATAAAAGATTTATACTGCACCAGTATCGTACTGTTCAAAGGCGCCTACAAAAACTTTAACATTAACACTTAAGACAGCTAATATTAATTATAAAAGGCTTTTCTAAAAAGAAAAGTTTTTAATCTACTTTTAAAAACAGACACAGACTGAGCATTTCTAATTTCACTTGGCAAAGCATTCCATAATGATGGTGTTGCTACAGAGAAGGATCTTGCGCCATATGTTTTCAAGTTATAGGATGGAGAAACCAGAAATCAATACAAACTAAACTTCTTAACTCTCAAGTTCAGATTGTTAATTCTCCCCTCTCACTGTCATACATTTCCTTATAAATTAGTTTTGAGAATGTTGTTTTAGATCAGGATAACAACTTCTATCAAATGAGTTTGAGCTTTCCTGTCCCCTGTTTACTGGATAATGTACGGATATGAAAGGGAGAAGTTCCCTGCTGATCACTTCTGGGAGTTGACAGGTTAAGTAAGCAGGTAAAGCAGTCCACATTAAAAGCAAAGATGTATCAATATGATGCCCATGTGCTCTTGTGTCAAATTATTTATTCCTGAGTTCTCCCATTTTGTTATTGACACATTCAGTTGGTGATCAAACTTTGTGCCTAACAATTCAGGCAGTCTTACTTTTAACTACAAATCAGCCTTCTGCTATGGACTTTGCCAATTTGAAATCACTAACCTGACTTCCCCCTAATGCTTTAACTACCAAGATCTGATTGTTAATACTCCCAGCTATCTGTTACATATTTCTCTGTAAGTTGGTTTTGAGAATTTGGTGTTAGATCAGGATAATACCTTTTACCAGAAAAGTTTGACAACTCTCATTACCTGTTTGCCGGGGAATGTATGAAATTAATAAGGGGAAGTTTTATGTCCATCATTTCTGGGTGTTAATTTTGCAACCTATGATCACATGACTTGTGTAGAACTCTGATACAATCTGGCACAAATCCAGTTTCATTGTTGTTATAATGACTTACTGCTAAAGTGCCAAGAGATTCCAACAGTCCCAATGAAAAGTCTCCTAAAACATCATTGATGTTAATATTTGATCTTAAGAAGGAGAGAAAATATCGTCATCATTAATGAAATTCATCATTTTGCTATAGAAGCATTCTTCACGTAAAATACTACATAAGAGGCACTATTTCTATTGTTTCCTGTTTAATAACAGCGCATTCAAAGCTAAATAAAACAAAGCGCTTCATTAATAGAATTGTTACTTAGAATATGACAACATTGTAATCATGGTAAATGTCTAGAGGTGTTTGTATTTCGTTTATACTTATGGCCACAGCTGTAACGAATAACACTCAATGATCGATGATCCCACACACAAAATTGAGAGCACAACTTCAGTGACCTTCAATCCTTCAACAAAGCGAGTTTCTTCGTTGAATAGCTAATTTAGGAACTCTGCTTACAAAGAAACCATGCGGTACTCGGGTCCATTAAAACACAGAATTATTTTAACTAAAAAGCGATAATCTGAGTTTCACTCCTATTGTAGAATTAAGATCAGTTAACCTTCATTTATCCTTTGAAAACACAAATGGCGTGGTAGTAAAAACGTATAAGAAAACACTTACGGATTGTCATAGTCTGGTCCTCTTCCTCTACAATGAATCGGATCTAGTTCATCTTTTGGGAAAGCAAAATTCATGTAATTGTCATACCCAAAGTAAAACATTTGTCTAGCTTCTTCTCGTAATTTAATCCGCTCATTCTCTGAGAAATACCGATATTTGCCACTAGAAACTCTGCTATCGTCATTCTGCGTGCCTGAGCTTATCTTCAGTTCTGTACAAAAAACTGTAAAAGCTAAAAAACTTCCTAAAACTTTGTACATTTTAAAACTTCGACTAGGTTAAGGAAAATGAACGATCTAGCAAAGTGGACCCAATGTGTTTACAGCGCGTCCATTGTCTCTCGACCAATGGGAGCGCAGTACGCCCAGGGTAGCAATTGGTTATCTCGTTCGCGCGGAAATACGAACCAACTGATTCGTGATCGTACGTCACACAATCTATAAGAGATGGCGTGACAAGTTCTGCGTTCCTAAATAACTAGAAACCTTACTCTTTTTTTCGGTCATATGATCGAGAAAGAAATCATAAGCCGCAAAAAATAAATTTCACCGCAAGATAGGAATTTGTACACGTAGAAGAACGAGGAATTTGGTTACTTTTAATTTAAAAGCAATAGATTCGTCGAGGTTGATTCAAGTAGAAACTTAGATTTTTTTTTTTTGACAGAAAATGTTGAAAACTGAAAACAGGTCAGGTCCCCGATGGCGATTTTACTTGAATATTACAATCTAAGGAAAAATCTGTCCTTACACGTTCTCTATAACCCTACAGCTTTGGTGAGGGACCGGGATAGAATTTCTCATTACAATCGCCGAGGGTGACAACTCCGTCTGTGGCAGGGCCGGCCTTAATTAATACAATATCAAGCAGACAAGAGATGCATGAGAGTATAGAATAATATGAACTAAGAGATTATTAGTTGATCAGATACAAAATTCTCCTAACTAATATCATAAGAATCGTATGGCATATAGTAAGGAGAATTACCAATTAAAAGAGATCTTGGGAAAGAGAAGGTTTACTGGACACAATAAATAAAGAAATAAATGATTGAAGTGATTTACAGACTTGAATGTCCCATCTCAGTTTAATCGGTTTTGGTGTTCGCGTCTCGTTTATTTGACTGATCTGATGGGGATGTTGCTACTCATGATATCTCAAAATATGCTCATTATCGAAAGTAGCTTATTTATGACAAGTCCGTGTGCGGCCGCTCAAGGCTACATTATGTAATTTTAAGGCTAACCAAACATAGCAAAACAACTGTACCAACTGTTTTAATGAACAAAATAGCAAAAGTCTGATTTTATTTCTCAACGGGATTGCAGAATGTTTTTGGACGAGTCTGCATCTAAGTTTAGAAATTCCGAATAAGTTTATCAGAGTCGCGTTCGTGAGATCTGTAATTATGCGAGAAATCATATTCACGAGTAATGTCATACACCCGATAAAGCTCGCGGAACACAGTCTATTCTTTATTGCTTACGTAACTCTTACGAGGAAATCCCTCGCATCATTACGAACGACCTGACTCTGGTTGTTCGAAGGATGGATAATGTTATTCACTGGATAAAATCTCTATCCTGTGGATAGCGCAGTACGTTTTGTTAACGCTTATCCGCTGGATAGCGATTTATCCGTTGGATAGTGTTATTCCCTCTTTGAACAACTGGGCCCTGTTGTTTACGAGTTTATTCTTGGCTAAAAATGACTCCGTAGGTAATAAAGGATTGTTCATTTTAACATTTCCGGAGCTTTCGCAATTTTTTTTGGCTGATACAGTCTCTAAATTTCCAGGTAGAGCGACTGAAAAAGGATGTTGAAAAACACAAGGTTGATCATGTGAATGAAGCTTAATTGATCTTGTCAGGAATACCACATGTCAAAACTCCAATTTCCTGCCTTTTTTTTCACGCGCTCCTTTATAATAGCGTGGAAGTCACGAGTTAAACTTACCGATTAAAATAAGAGAGCTAACGATATAACTTGCGTAGTCGTAGCCGTTGGCTCCAATAATCTAAGAACTTCGGCCACAATGACCTTCAAAAAGTTGTCCAAAAACTTGTGCCTTGATCGTTTTTTGTTTACCTGCACCTTGATATATGTATTAAGCTTCGAATGCTCCAACGGTTTGGTGATCCGTGTTTCAAGCACAACAGGGTACGATAACTCTTCGTGTTTACTTACGAGCGCCAAAAGTCCTTGTAAGACCATAGGATTCGCTCTAAATGCTATGGAGAATCAAAAGAACATCAATCAAACAAATTTTATATTTTCAATCGAAGACCACATATACCCTTTGGACAAACGGATCCACATTCTTCAAATCAGCGCGAAGCGTAGTATTTTTCTGCAATCGAGTCACGCAAATGGATCCACCATTAGCTGTACAAGTGCCTCCGCTGGATTTGATATTGGATTACCATCTGGTCAAGTAATTAAAACAAGAAATATCAACATAGCTCACCTAAGATTTCAAAACTGTGGTTCTCACTTTGCCGCTGTTGTTTTGATATGGAACTCCCTAAACATAAACTTCAGGAACTGTACGTTTGCACGTAATAAACAGAGTGGAATAAACGCATTTGACAGCGAGGTCACCGTTAACGGTTGTCTTTTCCTGAATAACACTTCAAATAGAAACAGTTCCAGCGAAGTGTTCAAAAAAGGGTACACGACGCTTGGTGGTGGAGCAGGATTTTTGTTTCAAGCTTCAGTTTCTCTTTCTGTGGTTATCAAAAATTCAAATTTCACCCTCAATTCTGCCGTGAAAATTGGCTCATCAGCATTCGTCGCACCTGTTTCGCCGATCTTTAGCGAACTTGGTGGAGGTATCCTTGTTATGTTCTCGGGGAAGACTAACCATTGCTCTGTTGAGATACAAAACACAGACTTTTATAACAATTCCGCTACCTTTGGAGGAGGTTGCTATCTATCCACCGATAGTACGACATTTAATAACAGCTTTTTTGTATCCAAATCGTCATTCGTTGGAAACAGAGCTATGCAAGCAGGAGGTGGACTGAAATTTTCTCATTGGCACAATTCGTCCAGGATCACGAGTATCTTAAAAAACTGCACCGTTACAGAGAACCAGGCCAGAAGAGGAGCTGGGATGGAAGTTCACCTCAAAAACTTTGATGAAAAACCCAGAAACTCCGTGTTGAGGCTTGTATCTGTTGTGTTTAAAAACAATCAGGGGAATTTCAGTTCAGCACTTAATTTGCAAACAAAGTTGCCCCACAGCAAAAAGATAAACTTGATTCCGGAATTCATAAACTGTACGTTTGAGGATCACCATATTACTTTTTTTTCTGGGTCTAATACTTTCACAAGTCAAAGGGTTGACGTCCGGTTTAAAGGAAAAAACATCTTCCGGCACAACCTTGGCGGTAGCGCAAGCAACTTTCAGGATTGCGTGGTACATATCGAGGGACAGCTAGTGTTTGCTTACAACGTGGGAGTTAACGGAGGGGCACTGTTTATGATGTCAAGTCAGATTATTCTTTACCCAGGAAGTGAACTGATGTTCCTCAAGAATGGAGCGACTACTCTAGGTGGAGCAATTTGTGTATTCGGAGCATTGATGAATAACATCATTACCTCTCATAATCCTGATTGTTTCATGACTTACAGCGAGTCACACTTGCCTGCATCCCAATGGAAGGTGAGCGCTGTTTTTAATGGCTTTTCATGTACGAAGGGCTGTTCCTTTTAAGGTCTTGATAATAAACCAAAATTACTGGAACGACTTCTCGGGACAAAGTTAAATAGTTGCAAGGAATCAATTACAAGAATAATACTTGTAAAACGAGAGAAACCGACAGGCACTTGGTTGAAAGAGAAGTATGCTGCATAAACCGTGTAACTTTATTTCTGATCGAAAATTATATTTGGATAGTATAAAAAGTGTAATCTAACCCGCCGTTTGAATGTGTCTTTTTTATAATTTGATAAAAATCGACCACGGAACAACTAAATAACCCGATCGCACAGGGAAATCACCTCACGCGGTTCATAAATCAAATCACTGAATCTAGGACACCTTTTTGTGTCATGATAACTTTTAATTGTCATAAGGATGGTAAAAAAAGATCAGCGAGACCTCGTCCCATTTTTTGTGGGTTAGTTTCCAGGTTACTAAGCACGATTCTATATGGCAGCGTCATCAACGGCTTCATTTACTCTCAGTGGATTCTCAGACAGGGGTCTGTTTCAAAATCTGTAAAGTGCTTTTTCAGGGCGGAAATAAGAATTATGTGTTCTATGAAACATACTGCTCCTTTAAGTCTCGATTCTCTTTTTGGCTGAGAACATAGCGGGGTAGAGCACATCTGGACTTAGTATCATAAAACTAAAACCAAAGTTATCATAACAGCCAATCAAACCAAGGAAAATTCACAATGAGCCAATGAGAACGCAAAGAATAAAGCGCGGGAAAACGCGGCGACCAAGTTGTGATTGGTTTTAGATTTGCATTTCAATGGTTGAGACGGGGGGAGGCGATTTTTTTAGACCAATCACCGAGCGGAGTAGAGCAAAACCAAAGCAATCCAGGATCACTTTCGATACTCAATTGAGAACTGCTTTAAGAAAAACGACAGCTGGCAGTGAACATGCAGACGATTGTTTTCAGCTACAATTTTCTCATTTCAAGTTAAAACTAGCGTGCATTAGCTTTATTAGCACAATGAAACGAAAGCGCCATCACAAGCGAATGAACCTAAGTTGGACGGTAAATGGTTTGAATCCGGGGGGTGACATGCAATCATGTACCCTAATCGTCCAGCTGCAGTTGGGTGTAGTCCAGAGAAGGACTGTAGTGATTGACGTTTCGACAAACTGATCAGAAGTCCGGTTCGTATAAAATGATTGATCAGTTAAGCCGTAATGTCATTGACTTAAAGACTCAAATGGCGTAATTCGGTTGTGGTTGGACAGTTTTGATCCGTTGGTAAAGTGCCGCTAGTGACATCTGTTGAGGGGAGTCTATTTTAAGTTGGAAACCAGCTTTCCTCAGTCAGTCGTTGAAAATGGTCAGCGTTAGTTATGTGTAATGTGTGTCAATGTAAGAAGCACTCGATTAATTTGAATTATACACCAGGAATATTTTAAAGCATAATTTAATCCATATTCACTCAATGATTGTTCCATATCTTTTTTGTCATACAGACCAACGTATCGTTTATCGAAAATTTCAGTTTCTACAAGGGAGCAGCCATCTACATTTCTTCACTTCAAAGATGTCAGTGGAGTGAAGAGGCCCCTCACACAGACCCCAAAAAAGCTCTCCGCTGGTCCAATAATTTTGTGTACAGGAACAACTCTCTTTTCCCCGGTGGTTTAAGGTATCTCCCGGGAAATAACGATATTTCAACAGAAACCAAGAGTTACCATCATTCGGGAGCTAAATCCCCTATAAAGGTAGGGCTTATTGGTTTACTTGGTTTTCAGAATTGGGACTGAAATGCTAAGATTCATCCATTTCCTTATTAATTACGTGGGATACCACAACCTCGTTCCCAGGGTTTCTCATCTTCTCGCCCCCACTCTTCTCTCGCTCCAGGGGGCTGGAAGATGATAGACCCTGGGAACGAGGTTGAAGATGCCTGGGGCAAACCACGTCTAAAATTCGAGTTTCATCGTTATCTAGTCTCATAAGGTAATTAGCCACGCGCTCGTGCTTCTCTTTTGAGTCAAGCCTTGTTGGCTGGGGTTAATGCTTGGATGGGTGACCGCACATAATATCAAAACGATCGAAGTTTTGTTTTCTTGTTTTCTTGCAACCTCGTTCCCAAGGCGCTTTTCCCTTCAAAGAGGGGACAGGCAGGAAAAGGCCCTGGCATCAGCCATTCACGTGCGCATCTAACACCCGAATAACCTGGTTGTGATAAAGTAGGTTGTGATGTGCAGTTCACATGATCAAAATCAAAATTTAAAGGAATTTTCGAAGCTCTTTTGGCTCTGCATCTCAAAAAAAAAACAACAAAGATCGAGGCTGCGCAAAATAACATGCCTCTTGAGCGACCTGGTACTGGCGCAGCCAATCCCACCATTCATTGTGACCCCAGTACTAACAAAGTGGCGTATTGTTTGACCGTTTTGTCGTTGGATACAATACAATACAATACAAAGACTTCCTTTAAACACGATAATTGTTAAAGCGACTACACGCTTGTGGGCTCTTGCGTGAAATGGAATAAAATGAAATGTAGTAAAATAAAATAATTAAAGTAGCCTATCAAAATTAGAAGATCTAAAAATATTTAAAATTGGGATCCTTAAAGTTCACTGTCTGTGGAGAAATAGAATTAAAGTTCAAATTTAAAAGTGCCTTTGATTTGTAGGCTAACGAGGAGAGCTGCTTAATGGTTATATTTCTTAAATTTGATTCTTGGAGAAGTGTGTTAAAAACGATAGGTCCTCTTCTGGAAAAACTGTTTTTCATGTAATATGTGTTGAATTTTGGTACTTTTATGTTGGCATTACTTCTTAGATTTTTCTTAGTATTCACGTCAACTTCTTCGGTGGTATCTAAGATGGATATAGGTAAAGTCTTCTTATCTATTTTGAACATCAGTTTAGCCAAATTAACTTTATATGTGGTTTCAATAGAAGACCATCGAGCTTTGCTTAGTACTTCAGACTTAGGCATATCCCATGGCCAGTTAAAAATTAATTTTGCCGCTCTACAGTGTAAAGACTCTAATGCAATTAGGCCCTCCTTATTAGTAAGGCCGCCCCAGACAGTGATACCATATATAATTGATGGGTAGATTACTTTGAAGTATAAGTCCAGTAGCATGGGTCTTGGTAAAAACAAGCTGCGCTTCAGCATGTTAAGCTTATTTGCAAAGCTGATCTTTAATGCTTTGACATGGTAGTCCCAGTTAAGTCTATTATCAATATAGACTCCAAGCAGCCTGGTGTGTTTAACCCATCATTTGGTGTGCATAACTGACTGTCGCCGCCACAAACGCCACAATTGTCCAGAGTTTTATTCGACCCAACGGTACCATCACATCCGACTTTCTATGGATGGAACAATTCAAAGGTTTTATCGATAATTAGTCAAGCGCGCTTGCCATTATGCAACCGTACCTCAGAAGGATTAAAAAAGACGATGACGGTAATTTCCCAACCCTATCAATCCCAAGATCTCTCTAGTAATTCTCCTCACTGCCTGTCGTACTGTTCTTCTGATGTTAGTTCTAAGAATTTGGTATGAGATCAAATATTAATCTCCTAATTAATATTTTTCTTTATTCTCATCCTTTGTCTGCTTGATGTTGTGTTGATACAATACAATACAATACAAAGACTTTATTTAAACACGATAATTGTTAAAGCGACTACACGCTTGTGGGGTCGTGCGTAAAATGGAATAAAATGAAATGTAGTAAAATAAAATAATTAAAGTAGCCTATCAAAATTAGAAGATCTAAAAATATTTAAAATTGGGATCCTTAAAGTTCACTGTCTGTGGAGAAATAGAATTAAAGTTCAAATTTAAAAGTGCCTTTGATTTGTAGGCTAACGAGGAGAGCTGCTTAATGGTTATATTTCTTAAATTTGATTCTTGGAGAAGTGTGTTAAAAACGATAGGTCCTCTTCTGGAAAAACTGTTTTTCATGTAATATGTGTTGAATTTTGGTACTTTTATGTTGGCATTACTTCTTAGATTTTTCTTAGTATTCACGTCAACTTCTTCGGTGGTATCTAAGATGGATATAGGTAAAGTCTTCTTATCTATTTTGAACATCAGTTTAGCCAAATTAACTTTATATGTGGTTTCAATAGAAGACCATCGAGCTTTGCTTAGTACTTCAGACTTAGGCATATCCCATGGCCAGTTTAAAATTAATTTTGCCGCTCTACAGTGTAAAGACTCTAATGCAATTAGGCCCTCCTTATTAGTAAGGCCGCCCCAGACAGTGATACCACATATAATTGATGGGTAGATCACTTTGAAGTAAAAGTCCAGTAGCATATGTCTTGGTAAAAACAAGCTGCGCTTCAGCATGTTAAGCTTATTTGCAAAGCTGATCTTTAATGCTTTTACGTGGTAGTCCCAGTTAAGTCTATTATCAATATAGACTCCAAGCAGCCTGGTGTGTTTAACCCATCTTATACAATGATTCATCAGTATTAATGACTGTAGTGGACCGGTGAAGTTTCCTCGATGAATTAGCTTGCCTTCGCATTTCTTGGGGTGAGGCAATAGTTGATTTCTTAAGCACCATAGCTCTAGGTTCCTTGAGAGCAGCATTCAGTCCGGCAATAACAATGTCAACGATGTCTCCGATACAGAACAGGGTGGTATCATCTGCGTACATAAAAACAGTTGCATTTGTTATATTATCAGGTAGATCATTTCTGTAAAGTGCGAACAAGGTTGGACCGAGGACTGATCCCTGAGGAACGCCTGTATAAACGCGAGCAAAATCAGAGGCTGGATTGTTTGATTCTTTATTCCATACTTCATTTCTCCGTTCGCTCTTTAGTTTAGTCGGTAATGTCCTTAGTCAGAAGATCGCTAATCCTTCCGTGAACTTACAAGATCCCATTAGCAACTCTTCTGATTGTCTGCCGTGCAGTTCGTATGATGTTAGTTTGAATGTATGTATGTTGGACCGTTGGGCTTTATCAAACTCTTGAAATGTTGACATTTCTTTGGCAGTGCAGTTTGTGTTTCATGATGGCTTTCTTTATCTTGAAGTATGTTTTTCTCTTTTCCGGCTTTGATAGTTTTCGTTGTCTGAATCCATAAGTGCGATTTACTTGCTACAAATTTACATATTTAAGCCCCTCTTGTGAATCGATTGGAGGGGGCAAATTGCAAATCGGAGTGTCGGCACCCGGGGTCGGGATGAGAAAATCAGGATCACTGGAGCGCGCAGAATTAGCCAATCAGATTCGAGGATTTAGGATTCCGGACCACTGAGATGCTTTAGAAAAAAAACAAAATTTGTTTTATGATCAGTTAATAATCCTCTAATTGATATATTTTTTTAATTCCATAACATGTTTGGGTAAGATTGTATCGATATTTTGAGAAGAAATTCTGTCTTCGTCACGAGTTAAGGAGGGTCAACAGAGTAATCTTTAATTTTTTCTTTACGTTTGTTCCAGCTTGCTCCAGGCCAGCTGTATGATTTAAAGCTGCGAGGATATGATGAGCTTGGGAATAATGTTCCAGCATGGGTTTTCCCACTAGAGACTGACGGGCTCGGTCTAGATACAGCTTTGAGAGTCTGGCCGAATTCGCCAATATACTTGCTTAGCCCTGGAAATTCAAGTACGACGCCGTTTTCGTATGGAATTTCTGAGGCTCTTTACAGAGAGATTCAAAACAGCAGAAGCAAACCAATACGCAAAGTCAAATTTGTTGATCTCTCCTCTTCATTGAATAATAAATATGTGTTGGAAATTGAGCTGCAAAAGTGTCCCCCCGGATTTGATTACGACAGCACTTCGAGGAAGTGCAAATGCACCGAGAACGCTGTTGGTATTGAGAGGTGAGGAGCAAAATTATAGACAAACAAGGGAAAACTGTGCGCCGATCAATTGGAAGCATTACCATCCCGCCCTGAGTAACCTTCTCGGGCATTTGAACTTTAAAATTTTAGTTCGTTCAAATTCTCGGCCCCCCCTTCCGCGGGCCAAAATTGTATTCAAATCATCGTCAATTATTTAATTTTTTCCCCGTAAATGGCAAGATTAAAGACCTTGACCTTCTTGGAACCATCTGTTCGCATAAGTGAATTTTTTTACAGGTAACAACAAGATTTCGAGTGCAATTTGGCCATAGGGCGAGTGCAGTCCGTATGGTTATTTACTCAGAATTCATTGTATTTAACCAGAGTGCACTACGCCACGATTGTTGTTTTTTATTGCATATTGCGCTGCACGGCGTTACTACATAGCCACGATTATTACAAAATCTTACGGGTTGCGGATTTTTGCCAAAAAGTTTTGAGTGGATTCGTGGATTAGAGAAATGTCATGAATCACAGATGTAAAGAAAATTTCGTCAAAGCGAGGGCTAATGCTCGAAACGTTAGTTTTAGATGCTATTTACAGTGGCAATTCACATTATCAACTCAGTCGATTTTGGTGTCTTTTATACGGACCTCAACATCGTCATGGTCCACAAAAACGCAAAAAAATCCCGGTCAATATCCAGCCATTTTGACCTCACACATATGTCATCAACGCATATTTCATCAGTGCGCCTGTCGATGGATGTTTTATCTTCGGTAACAAGTTACTGATTTCCGGTCGACCGCGAAATAGTTCATTTGAAAACCGTTGAGCTTGTTAATGGTAACGCGCGGTTCCTCTTTCCTTAACATAATTATATCTGTGACGACTACAACCAATAATTCTGCTTTTTCAATCAACAGATGCGACGGAAACAGCCTCAGCGTTTTCATAAAGGATGGTTACTGGGCCAACGTAACAGAAGATGGTACCCTAATAACTTACTACTGCCCATACGGGTATTGTCAATGTGTGAAGGGTGGGGATGGTAAAGCTGGATGTTTATTTGATCCACTTAACAGCAATGCTCAGTGCTCAAAGAACCGTGAGGGCTGGCTGTGTGGAAAGTGCTCAGGAAATACAAGTGTGGGATTCAGGTAATAGTCTTTAAGCACCTATCAAAGGACTGCCCCAGAACGGGGGGACCTCCGTGAAATTTGACAATCTTTCCCTCCCCTCCCCCTTGAGAAGGGGGACCAGAGAGTCCAGAGAGTCGTGTGCTTATTTCAGCAAACGAGTTTTGTCAGGTAACTTACAACATGGCGGATGACTCCTAATTTCAGTTTCTCTCAGTCTGCCAAGATCAACTTTCTACCCTAAGGTAAGGCGTAAACGTCAAAATCCCTAACTAAGGGGATTTCTCTTAGTCACTCTCAGTCAGTTTCACGGTGGGTAGTATGCCAAAAGATTTCAGCTTATAAGTCTTTGGGTAGTTTTGCGTCTATTTAATTTGTTCCAGCAATACCCGTACTTGACTATCAGCTGAGTGAGGTGCGCAGAGAGTCTGGGGCCGAGTTTTTGATCGTAAAATAACGGTGTTGTCATGGGAAACCTTTCTCATTTCCAACGGTAAACGAGTCTGAAGAGCCGTGCGTCCAACCCTCAAATATGAAAGCCCGCCAAAAGAGGGTAAAGAACACGTTTCCACTGAAAACGGAGCCAGTTGCCCGTGACAACAACACAATTTTAACGTCAAAATGTGGTAGCCAAACGTACGCGTCCACCTCACTCAACTGAATATCGTGGTGAGTGTTACCTGAGCGTTTCTATTGACCAGTTAACATATTCTTGTTGCAAAAATTATTACATTTCTACATTTTTTTTTTAGGGAGCATGACTGCCATGAATGTTCCAGTTCAAATTGGGAAATTCTTCCCATGTTTATTTTCATTGCTCTTTTTCTGTGCGGTCTCGTCATTTGGCTCAATCCCGGCATATCTAGCGAGATACGAGGACCTTTGTTTTTCTTTCAAATCCTTCCTTATATCTACGACCCTACTCTAAGCAAGATTCCTGGTTTTGTTAAAATTGTCATCATCCCACTTATGCAGCTATTCAGCTTCAGCTTTGGCACCCTGCTGGTGTATTTCCTGGATCCATGCATCGCTCCAGAGATAGATAACCTTTACTTAACCGCCTTTGGTTACATTTTTCCATCAGTCGCTGTTTTCGTCTTTCTTTTGGCTTATTTGTTGAGCGTCAATTATTGCCTTCAGTTCAGATTTCGCGGTCGTTCCATGCTGAAGGCATTTTGGTTTCTCCTCGTATTTGTTTATTGTCAACTCGTCGAGACGTCGGTCAAGATCCTTAACTGCGTAAAGCCGGTTGGCAGCAGCAAATACCTGTTCTTCTTTGATGGCACGATAACGTGTTTCGAACATCATCATTTACCATTTGCCATAATCGCTATCCTCGCGCTTGTGATTATTGTACTTCCTCCACCAATCATAGTGTTTCTTCTAACCAAAGGCTGCTGGAGAGCGGATCCTCAATATTCGAGTACTGTGACAAGTGGCTTGCACCCGCAGCGCCGTTGGTGGTGGTCAGTGGATTTGCTTCGAAGAGCATTGCTGATCCTGATCTACATTCTTGTCCAAGACTGGCAATTAAGACAGGTAAGCTATCATGGTGGGCGAAGGAAAATACGTGAAATTCAACTTTTGGGGCCTTTTATTGTATATATAAAATCCTCGATATTCAATCTCTGTCATTCTTATTTTTACGTTTCTTATCATTGAATACCATTTACCAATTCAACAGAGTTGGAGACGCGGCGGACTTCGGTTCGGGAGGTCTGGGTTCGAGATCTGCACTGGTGATAGGTTGTGTAACGCTCACAATGCTTATCACCGCCCTCTACGAAAACTCTTTGGAATGCATGGGCTCAGTTAGATCATACTTCCTAATATAAAATGTCTAAAACAAGTACTTAGAGCCAAAACCAAAATAATGGGCATCTTCCGGAAGACTTAAATTTTGAACGACAAAATAACTTTTTCAAAGCCACAAAAGAGGGAATAATTCGATTTGCATGGTGAACTAGGGCAAATTCTTTTTCTTGTTAGCAACAGTATTTAGGGAACTTTACAATAAAGAATGGTCTGGACTTCAGCCAGACCCTACTTTTTAATGACGTCCGTCGTGCAAGTATAAAAAAGTCATTGGAAAAAAATCATGTTAAACCCCCGGGGGGGGGGGGAACTCTGTGAGTGTTGCACACGAAAAGTACCACTCGTGCGCCTCAATCCCAGTGTTGCGTGCGGCGCGCTAATATGAATTATTTATTTATGATTTTCTTTTTACTCGCGCAACGGACTTTACCGAAAAAAGAGGGACTGCTTGTAGTCTTGTATTTAATTATTCTCGTTCTCTTCTTTCCAGGTTCTCATGATATTCGCGAGTATCATTATTCTCGCTGTTCACAGCAATTGTCAACCTTATCTTCGCACTCGCGTTAACTTCTCAGAATCATTCTATTTGTTAGCCTTGTGCACCATCGCAGTTTTGTGCACATTACCTATCAAGAAACTTGTTGGAAGTGGGACAGCTGAGATCGTTTGCGAAGTGCTCGTGTCTTCCTTAGCGTTTCACACATCTGTGGTGTTTGTTCTTAAAGCTGTAGGCTTCTTTCGCCAGCACTTTGACTGCGCGTGCGTTCCATTCGAAGAATTTGCAAGGCGCTCTGGTTATGAGAAATTGGGAGACACCGAATTTGAACTGAGTCTCGACCTTGAGACAGAACGAAGGAAGAACCTGTTCGAACCGATCTTTCCAAACTAATTTCTGTTGAACGGTGTGCAACGTTACACCCACCGGTTAACCAGAACGATGCGTGATACCTACCGGTTTTAACCTGTTTTAAAGCATAATTAGTTATTGTTGAAAAATTCGCCTCTGTAACTAATTTGTTTAGCAGTCATTGCTTTCTCAGTCGATCGTGGAACGATAACATTTATGCACATTGTTATTACGGTTAGAGACCGTCTTTATTTATCTCTTAGGCGCATTTTGATTATTACGATGAAATTTACATGTAAGTAATCCCTAAGCTTCTATATTCCCATGATCCCCCGTCATTTGGCAGTTAATTGGCAGACTACATCCCCCCTCCTTTTATACCATGGGGGAGACTGGTCCTCCCTCTGTTCCCCCTGAAAACCATCTGATCCCCAAAAGTCCTTGAATCCCCCTCCCCTCCCCCCCCCCGTGACAAAAATAATGACAGGTTTCCCAAGAGTGTTTTTTGAGCTGTAGTGAACAACATGGTCAAGCGCATCAGATCATATATCTCACGAATTTTGCGCTGTAGAAATAATAAAATAAAATTATTAAAATTATTATGGTCCCTTACAGTGTTTACAACTTAAGGGCGTCAGCAGCGGGATGATGTGACAAAATGTGATTCTTACTCCTTTAAATCCCTCCCAGGACTAGATATCGATAGGAATTGTAAATGCAGCTTAATCTTGTTTTAATTGCGTAACTCTCCTTCATGAAACTGAAGGAGGTAGAATTTTTGCAGGCTTGTAGGCTTTCGGTTGAAATTCGCAACCAAATCAACTCAAAAATGGCAAGTCATCCATAACAGAAAAGTAGGCTCTGTTCATTTAGTTTTTGATACGTGTAACGTTCAAGACCCCTTGAGCCGTCTATAATTCTTCTTTTCAATTATCTCATGTACTGTTTGGACATGCAGTTTTTATCTTAATTATTTTTTAGTGTATTTTACTTTCTAGGATCGTGGACCATTTGCTACTTAGTTGAAACTAGTACATTGTGTGCATGCGCAGAAGTTCGGTAACGTCTTCTTAACAGTCAGTGTAGTCCACACAATAAGCGTGTTGGGAAGGAAAGTTGATAGGGTAACATTGCTATGGGAACTTCCTCGACGGACACTTTTAAATATTTTGAAGCGAATGTGTCCTCTGGAAATTCCCTTCAATTCCTTCCTAAATGGTTTTTGTCTCCCGTTTCACAGGAAGGGTGGTATGTGCGATAATTGTTGAATAAAACCTATTTACTTGAAAGATCTCATTACCAATTCTACCCACTGGCTGCTACACATTTCCTTAAAAATTGGATACGAGAGTTTGGTGTTAGATCACGATAACAACTTCAACCTGATAAGTTGAGTATTCTCATTACCTGATTTATGAATAATACATTGATATTAAAGGGATACCGACGCGACATAACAGGCAAAGACAAAACGCAAGATACTAAAGTAAATGCGTATCTTTGGAAAGAGAGCGCTATTGAAGTAAATTCAGGTTATTTTTAAAACGTCCCTTTATATAATCTTTTCCAACGATATCCAAGACGAGTGAAATAATTTGGTCAGTTTCAAGATGGCAGTCTCTGGTTAATCCACGAAATGATGTCATTCATCACCAAAGCTGCATCATCTTTGGGCTCGTTTAGGAGTTTGTGGTAAAAGCCCGGATAAATCTGTTGGAAGAAAAATAGATCAAATACAGATAAAAACCTTGTAATAGAACTGACAAATAACTGGTACCTGAACGCAAAGAGAGACGGAGAGAGAGAGAAAAGCAGAGGAAAATGTCTCCGTCCTAGAGTTAATTTTGCTTACAACAAAAGAAACTGTCTCTTTAACCCTTTACATATTCTCAATACTGTTCTCGGTACATTTATGAAGGTGCAGATAAAGAGAATTTGTTTAATGATCAGGAGCTTCTTTAGTTGGTGATCCTTATCTTTATTCTCCTGACCTTAATGTGTGATTCAGGGGGGACAGTGTAAGGAGAAATTCGAAGCTAGTCACTCCTGGATTCACCTTGATAGTTTTATCTTTGCTTGCTGCCTTCTCTTCCAACATCACGGAACCTTCGACCATTGTGAGCTGGTCAGCATCTCCATGAAGCACTAAAAATGGCCACTCAATCTTGGTCAGATTTCCTTTGATGACTTCCATGGCATCATGTATGGCCATTGCCCATTTGGCCTTCAAACCTCCCTTCCATGCTAGAGGATCATTAGTCAAGATGGAGACCTTACAAAATCGTAGACAAAAATTGTAAAAACAAACAAACAATGTTGGGTCCAAAACTAAGCAGAAATTCAGGTTGGAGTAGTCCTAAATACAAAATTGATTTTTTCAAAGCATATAGCAATATTAAGCTCTCGTTGTGTTGCATGATATTTTTGAGAACGTTCTATTCAACAACTTTCTGTGGTTCGAGACAACTAAAATGTTTGCTTGAATCAAGTTTTTACGATTCTCTGTCCAAGAACAAAAAACATCACATTGTTGCCAAAACATCATGTTTTAGGATTACTCCTGGCGGTTTTCTTTTTTTTGGGGGGGGGTGTGGAGGGTGAAGGTGGAGGTGGAGGTGGGGGAAGGGGGCTAAAGGTACTTTTCAAAGTAGTTTACAAGATTAATACCTGTTCAGGATCTCGACTTAGGAGGGAGGAATTTTCAGATCCTACCACTTGAAAGGAAGGTACAATGCGTGACACTATTCTACCTAAAAATATCTGAAAATCAAGACATCATGTTGTAAGAAGTAAATTTTACCCTGTGGAGTTCACTAAAAGGGAATGGAGCAGAATGTTACTTTAAATAAACAGTCTGTATGCAAGCCAATCCAGTGGTACTTCCAGCTTAAACTTATCCCCATTTCTGCAGCATGAGGCAATTAGGAGTATTTCATTTCCCCCCAGGCAGGGAGCTGGTCTAATGCTGGTTACCCCCCCCCCCAAAAAAAATTTTGTCATGCTTACCTCATAGTTTGGAAATATTTCTTAAAATTCCTGGATGGAGAAAGGAGAAGACATGAACCCCTCCCCCAGGTCTCACACACAAAACCCTCAGGGGTGAGGTACAGTGCACTAATAGCTGGGGGAAAGCTTGTTATTCTTTGCAGTGACACAAATTCAAATTACTTCAACTAAGGGGAATGATCCAACAACAAAATTCTGCTGCATCGACAAACTTTTTCAAAATAATCCCTCATTTCAAATCAGGTAAATTGTTCATCTGACTCCTCCCCTAGCAGCGTGCTAGCACTTGCCACCTATCATGCTTCATGTCTTAGAAACTGCACCCTGCACATGAGATACACACCCACAGGGATAAGGTGATCAAGAAAATTTAAAGGACGCGAAGCCAGAGATAGGAAAATAGAACACACTTTCCCTCACTACATGCCTGCCAGAGAGCCCCTTTTCCTCTTCCCTCACCCTTCATATTTCTTTCCCCCCCTGCCCCATTCATGGTCCTTACAGAGACTACTCAGCTAAACCCTTCAACTCCCAGAAGTGATGAACATGCAATTTCTCCCTATCATATCCATACATTTTCCAGCAAACAGGTAATGAGAATACTCAAACTTATCAGGTAGAAGTTATCCTGATCTAACACCAAATTCTCGTAACTAATTTGCAAGGAAACATGTGGCAGCTAGAAGGGAGAATTAACAATCAGATCTTGGGAGTTATAAAGGGTTAAGTGTGGACTTGGGCTGGGTAAGTGGCTGCCTGGAATTGGAATCAAAATAAATATCTTTAAGATCTTGTAGCATTTACCATGCCGCGTGAAGCAGTTTTAGGATTTGCCATAATGGCTGGAGCACTGAGTACCACTCCAGTGAAGAAGTGTGGTCTTTCCATGGCACACAGGATTGCGACTGTTCCTCCCTGCATAAAGTGGTTAAAAAAAGTTAATCTGAATTTGTTAAGTAATAATTCCCACCAAAATCAATATTAAGGGAAATCTCTACTTAGGACAGAATCAAATTTTAATTCTTAAAAGAATCTAAGTCATGACTCTGTGAAGAACCTGTAGATATACTGCACAGAATATTATAACAATAAATAGTCTCACTTTGCAAAATAAACTTGATACTTGGAGACAACTATTAAAATATTGGGAGTCTCAAAACCCAGTCAGTCTCACAATTTCATAATTAACAATTATTGACTAAAGTCAAGTTGTTTTAGTTTATACCACACAGATACCAGAAAATTTAGTAACTATATTTCTTTCAATAATATACCGAAAAATGTTCTGAAATGAAACTCTTGCTCGGAGGTAAATAGTTAACAACTATTCACAGAAGTGGAGGTGGTTAGTGGTGGATATTCACTGAGCCACAAAGCGGCGATGGAGGTAAATATCCACCGCTAAACACCGACACTGAGGTGAATAGTTGTTTTAGTGTATACTAAAACAGTGAGATAATATACCACCAAAAATTGACTTTAATTCATACATTACAGCAATGATTCCAACATTTTCACACACGAGGTTATGCAAGATTAATTTGCATTTGTAAACAAAACCTTTCTGGTTGGTTTTTATGGATAAACTCTGGGTTAAAAACTTAAACCATTACCTTTAAATACGGCCAAACCAAATTTAGTTGCTTTCTTTGTGTTTCCAGGGACTGCTTTGTCGTTAATTTGAGTGATTTCTTCGCTTGTCATAGATGGAAACCGGGAAGCCATTTTCTCCCGAGTTGCTCGGAGGTCAATAGCAAAGGATATTCGGAGTTTGACTAGCTAATCAGAGCAAGCCTTCAACGCTATCCATTGTTTTAGTATATACTAATACTTGCTATTCACATCCAAACCTGCCAATCAGCCCGCATGAAAGCACTATTCACTTGTGTAGTACACACTAATAGTCTAGTATCATTTTTGTTTCATGGTTAAAAAAGGAATAAAGGCTGATAGTTTCTAAAGAAACTGTTTGGTGCTGCGTCGGTGGGGGTAACNAGCCGGCTACGCACCTCGTTGGCTATCTATCATCTCATATCCAACGCGCGCTCGTGGAATAATTGTTAATTATCCGATCCTTTTACAATGGGTGTACCTTCAACCTGCTCCTGAAGACACGCCCGTTCCTCTTGTCTAATTACAGTAAGTTCAGTCAAAAAAGAAAAATCGCTTAGTTATCATTCATGGCACCCTGACATAAACGCCTCAGGAGGAGAATACTATTGGACTCGTCTTAAGGCCGATCCTAGCGGCCATAAATCCGTAACCACACAAAAAAAACAATAGATAAAAGTAGCGAATGCTCTGTTGCTTTTGAGGGCCATGAAATCGAAAAGAAATACGTTCTTTGTGAAAACTAACCGTGGATTTGAGTCTTTCAGTTTCCAATATTTGGTAAACAATTTTAAACCCTTTGAACTTTGAACTGAACCTTCCTCGGAGATGACTTCTTTTTCCATTCCTAGGCAGGAAAGACGACTTTTTGATGATAAACAGCAGCCATATTGGATTTGCGTTCAGCATGTGATATGAGAGAGGACTGAGATCAAGTAAGAAAAACTGATAATAGTTCCCAGGTTCAACGCTGACTTTCCAAAGTTACGGCTACTGGGCCGGGTTGTGCAAAGCTGTGTTAAGATAACCCAGGGTTAGTGTGAAATTTGATTTCAGATCTGAAAGCTCTGAAAAAAAAATACGGCTTAATTCCATTTTGACTACAATTTGATGACTGAATGTCCTAAAAACAACTAGGAAAATTATCCCAAAATGGCTTTTGATCAGAGAAATTTAGAAACCTGCTGGATTAAAATTTAACCCTTGGTTAGAGCTAATCAGCCTTTGAACAACTGGGCCCTGGTGTCTGATTTTTGATTGTGGACACTGGCGTTCATTTTTATTTAAATCCAGAATCTGGCGTTCAATTTTTGATTTTCGACACAAAAGTCTGATCCTTTTTTATTTTAGACATGAGTGTCCTATTGTTGGTATTAAACACCAATTGCCAATTTTTGATTTTAGAGGCAGTTGGGCGATTTTTATGGTTACAGCCTCCTCGGGGAGGCGAAGCATTAATGTTGTGCTGTTGAGTGAATCTAACAATATTTTGGCCAAGTTTTACCATTTTGGCCACTAGTGGCTGTTTTGCCATTTTGGCCTCTAGTGGCCATTTTTCCATTTTGGCCAGCTGTGGCCGTTTTGCGATTTTAACCAGTGGTGGCCGATTCGTAATTTTGGCCACTAGTGGCCCTTTTACCATTTTGGCCACTAGTGGTGGTTTTGCCCTTTTAGGCACTAGTGGGCGTGTTGCCATTTTGGCCACTAGTGGCCGTTTTGCCATTTTGGCCACTATTGGCCGTTTTGTCATTTCGGCCAGCAGTGGCCGTTTTGCGATTTTAACCACTAGTGGCCGTTTGGCAATTTTGGCCACTAGTGGCCTTTTTGCCATTTTGACCGCAAGTGGCGGTTTTCCCATTTTGGCCACTAGCGGCCATTTTACGATTTTGGCCACTAGTGGCCCATTGGCCATTTTGGCCACTAGTGGCCGTTTTGCCGTTTTGGACAGTAGTGGCCGTTTTGTGATTTTAACCCCTAGTTGGCGTTTAGCAATTTTGGCCACTAGTCAGTGGCCCATTTACCATTTTGGCCACTAGTGGCGATTTTGCCATTTTGGCTACTAATGGCTGTTTTGCCATTTTGGCCAGCAGTGGCCGTTTTGCAATTTTGGTCATTAGTGGCCATTTTGTCATTTTGGCAACTACTGGCCGTTTTGCCATTTTGTCCACTAGTGGCCGTTTTGCCATTTTGTCCACTGGTGGCCGTTTTTCCATTTAGTCCACTAGTGGCCCTTTTGCCATTTTGTCCAGTAGTGGCCGTTTTGCCATTTTGGCAACTTGTGGTCGTTTTTCCATCTTGTCTACTAGTGGCCGCTTTGCCATTTTGTCTACGGCCATTTTGCAATTTTGGCCTCTAGTGGCCGTTTTGCCATTTTGTCCGCTAGTGGCCATTTTGCCATTTTGTGCACTAGTGGCCGTTTTGCAATTTTGGTGACTTGTGGCTGTTTTGCCATTTAATCCACTAGTGGCCGTTTTTTTATTCCACTACTGTCTTTACAAAAATTGTGCTTTAGCGATATTCAGGATACTTATGTTGACGTAGAACGACTAATCAATGATGTGTCGATAGTTAAATCCAGTTAATAGTGTATAACTTATGTATTCTTCTATTTATTGTCATGTGTTTCTTTTTCTGTATTTTTATCTCATACTGTCATTTCTGCTTTACTGATTTAATATTTAATTTCTGTCTCTTGTATATTTATTGAATCTTTTGTTGAGCCGAAATTTTTTTAAGATGTTTTAGCGTCCACACACTGCCCGCCGAGACTAGCTCTGCTATTTGTGGGTAGTGCGTCATTATGTTATCATGTTATTATGTTAAGAATTCTTAAGAAAATTCAGCCACAAGCAGTCTCAGACTACCTATATTTATATACATCCGCACCCTCCTTTTAGTGATACAATATTTGATTATAGACTGAAATAACTCTAAAAGAATGGAAGGAGATTTTCTCAAGTTAGATAGATAGATAGATAATAATCTTTAGACAGGGTGCGTTCTCACAGAAGTGGTTTTCAGAACGGCCCTGTATATCCCACCCATCCCACCCCAGGGGAGGACATCCATCACACAGTAATCTCGTGTGTGGGAAATTAACGTCTCCTACCCCAACCCTGCAGGAGACGGGACCTCCATTTATTCGTCCCTATCCGAGAAGACTAGAATATCTAACCATTTCTTGAGGTTATAGAAAGGCAGCAAATTCTTCTCAATTATTTTAAGACCCTGAGTGTTGGTCCGGCCGGGGCTCGAACCCTCGACCTCCCGCACAACAGTCCAGCGCTCTATCCATTGAGCTAACCGGGAGGCGGTTAATGAGCCTCTAGGTTATTAGAGCAATAGACTGCAATTTATAAAGGCTGATAGTTTCTAAAGAAACTGTTCGGGGCTGCGTCGGTGGGGGTAACGAAATAATTTGGATATATCAACAAGGTTGAAATGGTAAATTGGCTACCGTAACGGTTACAAAAGCTGACGTTTCGAGCGATAGCCCTTCGTCGGAGCGAAAGACGAAGGGCTAAGGCTCGAAACGTCAGCTTTTGTTATCGTTACGGTGTCCAATTTACTATTTCAACTTTGTTGATATATGCAAATTATTAGACTGCAATTTATATTAGTCTGATGGGGTGATAACCTACACAAGGGATGATAGGAGAAAATGAGGAAAGTTTGTAAATTGCTAGCTGGAGGTTGTTGACTCACAAATATATCTGTACCCTCCTTTTAATGGTATAAATCTTTGATTATAGAAATAACTCTAGAAGGTAGAGTTGCCTCAAGGTTATCTAAGCAATAGACTGCAATTTAGATCGGTCTAATGGGGTGATAACCTACAGAGGGGATAATGGGAGAAAATGAGGAAAGTTTGTAAATTGATAGCTGGAGGGTGGTGACTTACAAACTTTTTGAGTATTGACCACTTTCATAAATGGCTGCTGGATTAGTATTCTTTTG